TTTATAATAAATATATTCTCTTTTTAAGCTATGATTAGGGTGCAGAAACAAGTAACATCCACACTCCATATTTGCTAATTTATTTATTTCAATTACAAGTTTTGATCTTGTTTTTGATATCTATTTGATCTTTCCTTTGTTGCTGAATTGTTAGAAGCACAATAGTATGATCTTTCTTCTAATTAATACAAGTTAAAAATCAGCTGAAAATTCTTTTTCTCGTATCAAAAGCCTCATTTGCTAGATCCAACGATTTTTGATGCATCTATACTGTTACTCAATAACAGATGTTAAATTGAATTATTTCATAATTGTAATTTAGACTATTTTCTTCTGATATCGAGATTAAACATTTTCAACTGATTTCTTATTATTTATACTACATAGTTTCTCAACATCAATCAAGATTTTCTTGTGTTAATTATGTCTATAAGCATACAAAATGATTGTATATTCTTTATAAAGTATTATATCATAACAAATGGTCAACTTTTTTTTGTGACGGATACATCTATTGTCCTTTGTTTAGCATGATGTTGTCTACTTTCATGTGAATGAACATTATGAAGAGATGACAAGAAAATAAAGAAATTTTGAAAAGAGTGTAGCATTTCTTTATGATCATATTGAATGATGTATCGATCGCACATATTTTTTGTATCATTGTCATGCACTCTGTTCTCCACCAACAGACACAACCGTCCGAAAAAAAAATGTTTTGAAGAAAATGACAGTGATAATCAACCATGAATCAGTCTGATATTCATCTGCTTGATTAACCCAATGAAATATTGATCATCATCTTGAAAAAACTTGGCAACATTGATGTTCTCTATTCACTATTTGGTATTCAGAATGAACGGAGACACTTTACTAGAAGATAGTGTATTCAGTAGTATTCTCAATCTGGGTGTGCGTGCGGGTGTCGATGTGAGTATTCTTTCTATCGACACTCACACCCACACCCTATTCCGATTGTTTTCTATGCTTCCGTCTATATTTTGTGTGCTAAGCTTTATATTGGATCAAATGTTTAAACTAAAAAAGAAGACCCTGCCAGAAAGATCTGAAAACTATAGTGTCGTGAGCGAGAATGTCATCCTCGTGCTGCTATTATTCTATTGTATTTTGATGCACAATGTTCAGTACAGGTAAATTCTTTTTTCAAAAATTATTTGCAATTTAGATAGCTTTTTATAGGTTCTTATAACGAAGTACCATGAAAAGGTAAACTGAGAAAATACTATTTTTCAAATTTAAGAGAGTTTGTTTTTTTAATTTTATAGAGTGCTGAAGAACTTGGCTTAGATAATAAAATTATTAACAAATTAATACAATACCATAAATCAATACAAAAGAATGTATTTAATGTTCTAGAGAACTCATCGGTTCAGCATTATTATTTTATCATCCGTATTCCCAATAAAAACATTGATCTTACGCCAAGCAAAGAAGAAATTTATGTAAATATTCATATTGTTTTAAATATAATTAAACCAGTTTCTAAAAATTGTTCCCTTTTTTATGAATCATGATCCAAAAGGAGTCTTGAAGTATAGAGATAGAAATGTGAAGCCTTTGTCCCGCAGATTGTAACAGATGGTTCACAAGAAAATTATCCTACGTGATACCTCACGTTTACAATGAGAGTTCGGTCATTTGATAGGGCCCGTTGAGACTAAACGGATTCTCACCCACGTGCTGCTATATTAGAGTTATGGCCGTTACGCACGATAATTTAAAAAATCGAACAGACGAATTTCTATCTAAAAATTTGTCCGTAGACAGCTAGTAAAGTCATCCAAATATCTTATAAATCACAGCCAAACAGAATAGTCTCTTTTTGCAATATCACAGTTTGATTATTGAGTCGATATCTTGAGACGACACCATTCATTTTGGCTGAAGTTTTTAGGAAATCTAACAAGTTCAAGAACTATCTGTGGACAAAGTTTCAAGTCAAAATTCTTTTATTCGATTTTATTTTATAAATATTGTGTGTAACATAGCCATAACTTCAAGAGAGTAGCGCATAGGCAAGAATTCTTCTAGACATTTTCTAGTCTCAACAGATCATACCGAATAATTGGAGTCTCATTTTGGATGGTTTACTCGTAAGCAATGTCTTTCCTTCCACGTGTCAGTTGATGTATGATCAAAGATCGTCTATCAATAAAGTATTGTTATAATATATGAATTAATTTCTTATTGTATCTCCAAAGAATCAAGTGAAAGGACGATGAAAAAATGTGTCCCAAAATAGATCTCTCTGTGATTAGCAACAACACCTAAATTACGTTTCACATTTTAATCCTGTATGAATTGCAATAACAACTGTTCTTTGCGAAGGGTATTGTATGGCATAATGTTTTTCTATTGACATGCTGTAAAACGTCAAGGCAGTCAAAAGATAACTTCAAAGAAATCAAATTACGTTGTGGTAACTTGTATAGATCGATATGAACGTAAATCACTTATTGAATAGATAGATTCGATTATGTATTTTATGTACATGTTAAGCACTCTTTTGTTTTAGTAATATTTTGTTGCGTAAAGATAACATAAATGGAAATTAGATTGCTTCTCAAAAATACAATAATATTCATCGATTATGTCCTCATCAATTCAATTGACTATTGGTCTGATTATTTGATTTTATTCATAAAATATGAAGGATTTCAGGTATGAAAAATTAACCATATCAGATATTTTGTAAGGTTAGACAATCTGGCCGATGTCCTATGTATCATATTACTTCTGTCCAAGATATTTGATGAACACATTAAATTTATCTTCCTTATGATGTTTACTATAAGTAAAATAATCTTAAAAAATAGAAGCATCTGCAAAAATAAATCAAAAAATTTGTTTTGCAAGTTCAATTCAAGATCTAAACATAAGAGAAAAACCATCAATCGATCTTTTTACAACAAACGATATAAGTACTTGCCATGATATTCAGTACGAAAATTTTACCACTTACAAGATATTGATGAGATATATTCGCATAATTAGCGAGGCGTACTGAATGCAGCATTTTGATTATTAAAATAGTTAAATTGTTATATTCAAATATGTATCTAGAGTATTTTGAACAATATTCGGTAATGAATGTCTGCAAGGTTAATTCGAGATGATTGTAGTCGACGAAGGGTAATTCTTACTTTCCTTTTTAAGTTCATTAAAAGCGATACCTTTCAAATATTGCTCGTATTGTCATTAGGGAGCTGCGAGTCTCTCTAGACTCGGATCCGAATTCACAACAGTGTGAACGCATAGCTTCCTAATTACCATGCTGAATATCGGTAAAATCAACAGTTACTGCCGAAGACACTGTTACTTTTGTTATCGTTATATCTTAACGATACTTGAAAGAATTTTTTCTTGCTTCAACTATGATTTCGATCATAGGTTAATTCACATCTAACAGCTAATGATGATATTATAATAAAGCTGTGCATCATGGTGTAAATTCTCTAAATGCTTGATGTATTTTTTTTCTATCAATAAACTTCTTGAATTTGCAGAAGTTGGTGATAAACCTAAATAGATGACGTAAACTCATGATATTTAAGCAGAGAAAGTTAATGAAATTATATAAATACTTTTCTTCAAGTTCCTATATAATATAAATGATCATTATTTGTTAACAAAGTTTTTATTTGTAATTTCAAACTTTTCTCTATATGTCAAGGACAGAAAAATAAGTAAAAAAAAATGACTCATTTTTTCTTTTCGAACAATTGTTTACTAAAAAAAAAACCTTGTTTCTTGTGTCTCGCTATTGACATTTACTATTTTGAAGAATTTTATGAAACTATGCAAAAAATAGATTGCTATGAAATTCATTTATATTAATTTATTTTAATAAAAAATGATACTATAGAATTCAAAATATATGATATGGTTGTTTTACTTTTTTTAGTAGTGAAGCAGAACAGCATGTACTACTGTGTTTTTGCTAAAAACAATCAATATAGATCAAAATTTTAATTTAGGCAGAATTATTTTTTAATTAGGTGCAAAACTGAGAAATACTTTTCTTTTATTTAAAAATAAATTCTAAGTTTCATTTGGACTAAGAAAATATGTCAAATATCTACTTTTTTTACTAGAGAGAGTGTTTCTTTTAAGAAAGTGACTGTGTACACTTGAGTGCACATAGCCAAATGCCATTGTACTCTTGAGTGTACATAGTCGACTGACTATGTGCACTCAGGTAGATATAATCAAGATATAAAACTTTAAGATTAAGTTATATTAGAGTCTTTTATAACTTAATCTTAAAGTTTTATATCTTGATTATATCTATCCGAGTGCACATAGCCACTTCCATTATTTTTCCTCGATCGAATCGTAAAAAAAAACACGAATTGCTGTTGCTTTCGAGAGAAGGAAATTACCAAAATATTAGTCTTAACTATGAGAACAACTTATATAATCACTGAGTTGCAACTTTCCAAGATTGCTCACATTCTTACGCAATTACGACATGTTTTTACATTTCTTTTAATCGCAGTAAAACAAATCATTTACTATATTTCTCCTATAAGAAGATTAAATCACAGTTCAATATATATTGTTTTATAAATATTAAATATTAAATGAATTCAAAAGAGAAAACAAAATATTCTATATCCACTTGCTGTGAGGACAGCATAATTAGGTAAGATTTTACTTCTAATTAAAAGCTTTATGTAAGATTTCTAATATTTATCTTTACCGCAAATTAGGCATTTAGCATATTGGTTTCATTTGGAAGACTTACAACGATCGATTAGACCTATTATACACATTAAAGAGGAAAATGCATATAGACAAATACTTCATGAGTTATTTATAATTGAGGTTCGTTTTTATAAGGATTTTGATGCAAAAAAACTTAGAAGACAACCAGACAAAAAGGATTGGATGAAGTTTTCTATTCCTGGTAAGTTAATTTTTTTATTTGATATCAGAATAAAACTCATCATATATTTTATTCTTAAGTGATATTGAAAATGCTCAATATAATCTACCAGCAACAGGTTTCTTATGTACCTTCTGATGGTGAATCAATGAATGATAATGATTCTGGTAAATACTAGTTTTTTTCCTAATAAATAAAATTCCTATATTATTGTTTTAGAGTCTAGTGACACACTAACTAATTATCAACTTGTTACAACTCGCATTGCCATAATTCGTACAATATATGCCAAACTTATTTGGAGAGAATGGCGTCGCGAAAGACTTTGGGGTCCACGTGTTGGTGTAATTTTAATTTCAACTATGGAAGAGGGTGCAGAAAAAGTATGTTATTTTTGTGTGATTGTTCAAATGTTCAAAACTTTGAAATACTTTTTTTTAGGTTTTACTTATTTCATATATATCAGATAAGCCATTCCAATGTTTGAATTTTGGATTTCCTAAAGGAAAGCCTAATTTAGGAGAAACTATAAAACATGGAGGTTTTCGCGAAGTAAATACATACTAATTTTCTTACAATAAAATGTGACTTATTTATTATTTTAGATGGTAGAAGAGATTGGTATAAATGATCCATATGACAGTATTAGAGTGGCCATTAAATATGGTGTAGTTATTAAAAAATGTCCCTATATTGGTGGTCGAGATCAACGTCGAAGTCGAACACATTATTATGTTATAGCTACGACATCCTCTCAAGATACAACATTTCAACCAGACAAAACAGAAGTTTGTGTAAGTGGAGATATATTTCGTATTTTTTCCAACGATAGAAATCGAGAATTCTCATGATTAATTTTTAAATGTTTTTCTTTTGTAGAATGTTCAATGGCATAGTATATATACTTTGCCATGTTGTGACACTTGCAAAATAAAATGGAGGTTTACACCAGATGATGACCCAAAAATACCTGTCAATTATCATATGGTTACATTAAGAGATATTAATGGAGAAAATTCAGCTGTTCTGTAAGTATAATAGATTAAGAAAATAGAATAAAAAGTTTTCATTGAATTTAGAGATATATTGGCATATGTAGATGAAAAGAATGGCAATCGAAATGCCTACAATAAATATGTTTATACTCACCGTAAATGCGAAGGAAATTTTTCATGAATACTCTTTATAGACATGATCTAATAATGAACAGCAATGATTATTCAAATATCAATCATATTATAAACAAGAATCTCTAGAATATAAATCACTAGAGAGACTCACCCACAAAATCATATAAAAGCATACAGGTCTTTTTTCTTTTTCTTCTTTTTTGTATTACAACACGTTTTTTTTGTTGCTTAAATAAAATCGATGCTGTTCAAATAGTATTCTTGAGAAGAAAAAGAATGTCCTTGTTGTGAATAGTTTATTACCTTGACGACTTCAAATCAATATGTTGCAAAGAGTACCGATTTGATTAAAAATAAAAAACCATTCTACATGGAATAGGAAGACAACACATAGATTCAGATCGAATAATAGTAACCGATTTGCAAAAATTACTAAAATAAAATCGTACAATTGATCGAGATTAACTAATGACTAATAAAGTTTATTGTTCAAAGGCACAACAAAACATAATATATTTTGGTCATTATCGAAGCTTCAAATTAATATTAGCTCGATCGTTAGTTTATAATTATATTATAATTTTAAATCATAGTTCTTAGATCATAATCTTGCATAAGAGACACAAGTGAGAAAAACTATATCGTATTTGGCGTTAAAAGAATCCCTATTGTTACGTTCAAATATATTTAACTCATCATATCATGAAAATCGTGTTAGTTTTGACGATGAATCCCGATAGTCGAAAAAAAATCACGATTTGAACAAAGAAATTTATGATAAATTGCTATTGATTGGCGATTTTTCAATTAGTGGAATAAATCGCAAATACATTGACGACTATCAAAATACCGATGATTAATCTCAATTTTTCCTGATGTTTTAAAAACAGCACCGTAAGAATCATTTACATAAAAATTATTTGTATATTTTATGTTTTTAAAAGCAAGACAAACAAAATTTTGATGATTTTTGCTTAAAGAATTTTTTCAGTAATTCCATGACATACTATCTGATATAAACTTTGGATTGAATATTTACTTTCTGATTAGTTTTCTTGCATATGAAAGCAGGGTCTGTGGAAATGTGGTTGTAGACACAAGTATCTATCTTCTGTTCACCCATACCATAAATGGTACTAAATTTAAACTCAATGTGCTAAAGGATATCCCGTTTGACTCGGATTTTAACTTCTATGTGGTTCTTGATAATAATCAAGCGATAGAATATATACGACTCTGATTCGACTATACATAACTTTTCAACATACTAACAATATATGAAGATACTTTGATTAAATGTTTTTCAATTGGACTTTTACTGCACTACTAGTCAATATGAACATGATTCATACACAGAAATGACACTGATAGCATCGACTCTCATGGTCAATATAATCGATGAGTTTTTCAGAATTGATATTGTTCTATAAAAAATAATAACACTTATGAGACCATCAATACATGAATTAATTAAAAAGAGGGTATAAATAAGCATGCAGCTGCAAACTCAACACTGGTATATTTGAAGTTATTTACATGTGATAAATAAATAGGTCTTATTTTAAAAGCCAATAATGCACATCAAGTATATTAAAAAAACGCGTGTGATATACAGGGTGGCCCAAAAGTAAGGAAAAATAATGGGTATCCGATAATAACTGATGAAAAACTGTTAATGATATTTTTCATACTTTTTATTGATGTAGAGAGATGAAATTTTCAGAANACTAGCTGCAATCTATCATAGCCGATCATTTCTTATATTATGAGTGCTTTAGTCTCGGTAAATTCATCTTTCTTCATACCTAATTTTTTTAAAAGATACCGGAAATGTCGGTTGTTCAAAATTAATCTCAGGTTAACAGGTTACGATATGGACAACCTGTAACCTGCCCTGTAAAAATTTCATAACCTGGCCCTGCCCTGCCCTGCTATTTTCGCAGCCTGCCCTGTCCTGCCCTGTCAGGGCAGGGCAGGGCAGGGCAGGTTACCTGCATCCTGCAGGGCTCTAATTGAGACAAACATAAGAGAATTGCACAACATATTCAAAATAACATTTTCTATTTAGACAAGCAGAGAAAAATATTAACTCATTATGGAGTCATTGAAAATAAAAAAACATGTTTTTATGAGTTTTACTTGTCTGACCTCTATTGACAATATGTTTTAAAGCTTCTATGAGTCGTGATTAGACCGTTCATCGGGTTCTAGTCGACATCGCTTTAGAATCATTTAATTTATCGAATATTCTACTTCTAAATAATTGGCATGGTTATTGCATCGTTATTCTGAGAAAATATTTCAAGTCTGCAGAAAGTGATTTAAATAGAATGTGAATAGAAGTCTTCAGATAATTCGTACCGACACTTTTAAATCTACATGATTATTAGTCAACCATTTACGATTTTTTGATGAAAAGGCGAACAATTAGTTGAAAAGGTTTCTTCACTAATGAAATAATCGAATTTTCGAATAATAGAAAAAATCTTCTTTTCCATTTATCACATAAGGATTTTCTTCAAAGTATTCAGTTGTACTGAATTCTAGATTTTTCGTCTTAGCAAATAAAAAATTTACGTTTTCAGCGAACAGTCGATAGAATTTAGAGGCAAAATTGAAAGTCAACATGACTAAATTCCTGCTGATGAGAATTTCATTGAAGCCTATCAACTTCTTGCTAAGGAGGGATATTGATTGCTCGATTAGTTATCTATATGAATCATTTCATATCATCAGCTGTCTTACATATGACGAAAAAATAGTGAAGTCCTTTAAAATCTGGGTGTGGGTGTTAGTTTTCCCTTAACCTACTCTCATCCACACCCACATTAAGATCAACAACAGCAGGAGTAATTAAATTAAAAAATTTACTATTATGACAAATATTATATAAATGTCTTCTCCATGGTACAAAATGTGCATAATATGGTATATATTACGCATGTGACATCGTTTACGTTCAATTTTTTCTAAAACAACAAGTGATAAAAATAAAGTAATTTTACTGCATTATTATTTCGTATTGATTATATATTAACATCACCTGTATTAATAACATTATACATTATTTGCATCCGACCATCTCAAGATGATAATACAAGTAATGCCTAACAAACAAAAACAATTTTTTTAGAAACATTTTTAATTGTTTTAAATATAACGTTAATAGATCTTGACAATAATAAAATTTTTCTTTGAAAAACTAAGAAAAAAACAAATGAAAGTTTCAATTGGTGAAATCAGGAAGAAATCTATTTTAAAGGTTGTTTTAGATGGATTTATTTTTGGTAGAGGCCATCAATTACGGGTCCAAAAAATTTTGTACCGAATGGTGCAATCTACCCTCTGAGCACTAGCCTCATCAAAAGATGACAACAGTTTTGAATAGATTTACAAGCAATTTTATACTTGTCTAACCCAATCTATTTCTTATTTGAATCTAATAGTAGCGTTTACTAGACACATTTCACTGATTTATTAGAGAAGAATAAAATGAAAATTCATGTGTTAGCCTAATTGTTCTGAATCGATCGATTCAAACGGGACGACCAAATCCTTTTCATCGTGAAGATAGTTATCGTCGAAACGACTGGACACAGTAGAAGCCAAGGATATAGAGGACATGGAGAAAATGAATATTGCGAATTCTAATGAATTTTTAGATTGTGATTGTTTCCATCCAAGAAGTTCTTAACAAGTGCAGCTTTATACGAATCTCATGCTGCGAAACGCTATTATTTCAAAACATTCAGAACGAGGTCGATATATAATCGAAAAACTCCAATCTATTAATCAAGATTTTCGGTGTCACGGGATGAAACTCTACAATTTGAGAGCTGGATGACAAAACCGTTATTGTGTTGTTCATCATAATGTCACATGTTAATTTTTTGACATATCGATCCGAAATACCATTGATGACAGGCACAAAATGATAACGTTGGACATTTGAGATTATGCTGAAAACAATTACGTTGATTTTCGCACAAATAGTTTCTTCAACAATAATGCGTCAGATTGTGATTAAACCGGAAAGAATTGCCTAATTGATAGAGAGTACATAAACACAAGTAAATATCATCATAGAAACAAACTAATTCGGAGTATGAATGTGAATGTGAATGTTTCTATTTGTCTTATCTTGAGACAGATCTACATACACTCATGCCATCACTCGACAACACGCAGAGCAGCGTCCACGAACATACTAGAACGTCGTGAACTCTTAGTGCAGCAAATGATAAACTATATAGCGATTTTTCTTTCAGCTACACTTGAAAATAGCATTAATACGACAAACTAAATGTGCATTTGTTCTGAGCTTTTGGATGATTGCCTATGAATAATTATGATTGATTCAAGCTCTACAAAATCATCTGTACATATATATACTTCAGCTGAGACCGAATAAGGAATAGTGTGCTTGTATGTATTATTAGTACTCACATTATCATTTTCTGGCAAGGTAAAAAAAAATACATACATATTGAACTTTTTTCGTATTCTGAGCTCCTCGAGTGTTGCGCCTTTACTTTTGTGTAGTTGATTATGTAAATGGAAGATTTCAAACCTTTTCACCAGTTTAGATAATAATATATATCTCCGATATAGATCGTTATTGAGCTCTTCCTTATCGTTTTTGGATCATTGTGCACGGGTGTGAGTGAGTATTACCTTATCTGGCACCCATACCCAAAAAATGACCAATAACAGAAAGTAGGAGTGATATGTAGAATAGTAAAAATTACTAGTTATAACAGAGAGATCGAATAGCTATAATTTTTTCATCTATGCTGTTGGTAAAAGTGACTCAAAAATTCCTATAAATTTCATGTTACTTGTATCTCTGTGACTATAAGAGATAGAAAGTTCAAATAGTAGCGTAGAGTAGATCTAGGTATCTAGTAACTACGCTGCAAATATCAATCTGTTCTACTGAAGAGAAACATGTTAGAAAATGATTAGAATTTATTAGACACTGTTTTAGCATACCTACATTGTGTCAACACAAGTGATTACACATTTGACGAAGTAAAAACAATTTAT